AAGAGTTTCTTTTTTCAATAGATGGTTGATGTTGGGATGGTTACTCAAATCAAGTGATGAGTGATGAACTCCAAGTCATCCTTGGAAATAGCAAATCTATAGCCCAACATAATTATCCTTTAAACTAGAGAATATCACTTGTGAGAAAGCCATCATGGCCACATGGTTGATCTAGAGTGGAGTGCTGAGTTCTGGCAAACAGCTGCATCTTTCTTCCAGGCCTGGGGACTGATGAGGACTCCCTCATTGAAATCATCTGCTCCAGGACCAACCAAGAGCTGCAGGAGATTAACAGGGTGTATAAAGAAATGTACAAGACCGATCTGGAGAAGGACATCATTTCGGACACATCTGGCGACTTCCGCAAGCTGATGGTCGCCCTTGCAAAGGGCAGAAGAGCGGAGGATGGTTCTGTCATTGACTATGAACTGATTGACCAGGATGCCCGGGACCTCTATGACGCCGGGGTGAAAAGGAAAGGGACTGACATTCCCAAGTGGATCAGCATCATGACCGAGCGCAGTGTGTGCCACCTGCAGAAAGTGTTCGAAAGGTACAAGAACTACAGCCCTTACGACATGCTGGAAAGCATCAAGAAGGAGGCCAAAGGAGACCTGGAAAATGCCTTCCTGAACCTGATCCAGTGCATACAGAACAAACCTCTGTCCTTTGCTGACCGGCTGTATGACTCCATGAAGGGCAAGGAGACTCGTGACAAGGTCCTGATTAGGATCATGGTCTCCCGCAGTGAAGTGGACATGTTGAAGATCAGATCTGAATTCAAGAGGAAATATGGCAAGTCCCTGTACTACTACATCCAGCAAGACACCAAGGGTGACTACCAGAAGGCACTGCTGTACCTGTGCGGTGGAGATGACTGAAGGGTTCGGCATGGTGGATCACGCAGAAGTGGCCCTGCCTGTGCCCCCCGACCTAACGATCCAGAGAATCGGCCTGCCGCTAATGAACCCGGAGCTCCTCCCTGTGAAGATGACCATACGGACCCTCTCCCCATCTTAGCTGCCTTAGCATAGCCTGGCTTTCCCCTCGTTCTCTCCCTTATGCCAAAGACAGGAACATTCCGGGGAGTTGGTTATACCATTTGTGATGCGAGACACTTCACCTCTTATGTACTGTGGCGTGAATAAACCATTTTTACTTTAGAAAAAAAAAAGAAAGAAAGAAGCATCTGCCAACACACTTACAAATTTCATGATGTCATTTTTCTTTTAACAGCTGAATAACATTCCAGTGTATAAATGTACTACATTGTCTTTTCTATTGAGGGACATCTAGCATGTTTCCAGTTTCTGACTATGATGAATAGAGTAGCAATAGACATGGTTGAATAAGTGTCCTTTTGGTATGAGGAAGCATCCTTTTGGTATATGCCCAAAACAGATATCTTGAGGTAGACTGATTACCAACTTTCTGTGGAACCACCATATTGTTTTCCATAGTGACTGTACATGCTTGCATTCCTACCAGCAATGGAGGAGTGCTCCCTTTATTCCACATCTCTTCAGCATCAACTGTCACTTGAATTATTGATTTTGTCATGCCTTTCTATTAAAGAATAGTCATGGGACATTCTCAATGGACCATTTTCTTTTTAAAGGTGCAAGTGTCCAAGTAGAATAGAATGTAGCCTCATATGTGTCAGGGAAAATTACATATAGCCACTATTGTAAGTTAAATCTTACTTCTGCAAGAAACTGAATTCAAGTACAGCAATATTATTCAAGTGATATGTTCACTATATGTTGAAAAGAGTTTATAAGTTCTTTATCAGTTACCTCTTGCCCCTGTAAGAATTCTTACAAGGTTAAACAAGAAAAATTAATTTCTCCCACTTGGGAGCGCAACCCTGTAGCAGTTGGATTGAAAAATGATAAACTTTCCATGTGGAGACTGAGGGGAGCAGCATTCTGCTGCCATCTCTCTCTGCTGGATCTCAGCCCCACACATCAGTACAGTCGTGCTCCCTCTCCTTCTTAAAGCCAATATCACAGTACTTTAAAGTCTTAGTATTTGTGTTATGACATCTCTTGTCCCTAGGATACATTACTTCCAACTTTGAAGGCTTTTAGATGTTTCATCAAAATCACTAATATAATCAGGGTTGAACTACTGCTGTCAGTTTTCTCAGTTTCCTCACATCTGACAACACATTGCAAGTAATCAAAAATAATCACAAAACAAAATGTGTTTGATTATGAAATGGACTTTAGGAAAGTGAAAGAAACTTTTAATAATTGTGTCTACAAGAACACTGATCTTTGTTTCAATAAATTGTTTTATTTGCAAACTGAAATATGTTAAGTCCATCTACTTTTATCCCATGTAATTTTATGTACCAATGTTGTCAAGAATGATTACTCCACATTTAGAAATGATGCCAATAATAATAGATGAGTGGATGTCTCTTCTCACGCTATATGACAATGAATCCAAAGTAAAACCAAACACCTATCTTTATGAAATTGAATATAAATTTTTTATTTCCATGAAAATAGCATAAAAAATGACTGCTTTATTGCTGTGGTTACACTGTCAAGGTCAATGACACTCAGTAGTCACACCATTATAGCTAAAAAAAATGTTTAATCATTAGACATAGTCACTTTTTTGATAAAGCGTGAGGTTGGAGCATGGCATCATGTCATCTGTGAGGAAAATAATGTACATATCAAATTAGTTTCACATGGTTTATAAAAGAAAAAAATTAAGTCAATCAGATTAAAATATACATTGTTATAAAAACTATGTCTCTTAGGTGATGCTATTTCATTTCTCAATCCACTATATTATATATAGGAATATTTTCTCCTTTCCATAGAATGTTGATTGTTTCTTTAATTATAACTTTTAACTCATATCTGTTCTTGAAGATCCTTCTCTTTTGTTACAAGTATTCTACTCTGGCAATACCCATTGTACTCTTTCTTCATCATCTCTGTGTAAAACTATGCTACATCCTGCAATTACTTTTTATTAGGAATATGTCTTTTTCTAATTGATTAAGGATTTTAAATGTGAAAAAAAAGAACAAGTATCATGTTCATAGGTAATAGAGAAAGTGCATTCAGAAGACCAGTATCAGATCATCTTGTTTGGCTTATCTTAATGGTGATATATAATCATAGACCCTGGAGTAGTAGATAAGTAAAACATTACCAAAGGTTTGGTGTTATTTCATCTTAAACTTGGGTGTGAATATATCATCTTTGGACCCCTGCTAATACTACTAAAAAGAAACCTGCATGGGGCATTCATCATATTATTTGCCTAAAATATAATTTCTACACAGAGAAAATCATGAAAGCCATCACATGTGTGAGATTGCTAACTGTTTATCCCTTTTGGCTAGAAACAATTGAGGTTCAGGAATGGCATCAAAGTAAAACTGCAAAGTTAAGGTTTCTAAGCTGAGGAATCTTTGTAATTCAGCTCAAGCTGGTCATTAAGCACCAGCAGTTCAAGTCTGGGCTTTAACTTTATTCCCCCTCACTTACAAGCAACAAAGCTGCTTAAAGAGGAACTGTGCTAATGAGGAAGCCAACACCATGCTGAATAAAAACTGAAACCTGACTTCACGTCCTTTAAAGGGGCCAGCCAGACTAATTGTGATTGTTTGGGGCTTCAAGTCTGGGGTTGCAGTGTTTGGGCCTGACTCTCACTTGCATTATTTCCTACTGCTGCCATAACTAATGACCGCAAAGCTAGTCACTCAAAACAACACAAATTCCTAGGATACACTCAGGAAATCTGAAGTTTCATTAGGCAAAAATCAAGGTGTGAGCAGGCCTGGTCCTCCGGGAGTCTCTTCAAAGAGTCTTCCTTCCTTTCCTGTTTCCGCAGGCTGTTAGCACCAAAGAGGGCATTACTGGAACCTCAGATTCTGTCATCATGTCTCCTGTTCCAATTCTCCTGCCTCCTCTTTCACTTACCAGTACCCTTATGATTACACTAGGTCCACCTGGATTATCCAGTATAATCTCCCATTCTAAGAACCTTTTTGACTCCTTATGACATTTGCTATACTCGTAGATCAATGTCTTACTCGGCCATCATCGGAGAAGCTTCCTGCTACAGCAGATGGGAACATACACAGAGACCCACAGCCAGACATTACCAGAGAATGAGAGACCTTGGGACACTCAGCCCTAAACAGAATATCTCCATAAAATACCTCCCCTCAGGGCTCAGGGAACCCTGTGGAAGAGGAAGTGGAAAGAGTGGCCTTTGCATATAAGTATGACTTGCAGTTTGGTGTTTTTTATGGGATGCCTGAGTGAGCAAATGAATGGATCCTGTTTCTTGTGCCTTCTTTTGAGCTCTTTTCCTTCTATTTGTTTGTTTTGTCCAGTTCTGATGTGTTAGTTTTTGTTTTCTCATTCATATCATATCACATCACATCACATCACATCACATCACATCACATCACATCACATCACATCACATCACATCACACTATACTATACTATACTATACTATACTATACTATACTATACTATACTATACTATACTATATTATATTATATTATATCATATTATTAGAGAAAGAAGAACCTGAGTGAGGGGAATCTGCTGCACAGTCCTATTTTTCTCATAAAGCACTAGAATCATAGACTTCGGGGATCAAATAGGCTTCAGGGAACATCTTTGGGGAAGTGGACAATTATTCTACTGACCCCTGAAGAACACCTACTGGCTTGCAGCTGGGAAGTGAGCCAGAGATGAGCCTCACTGGGCAATCCGTGCTCCAAGACTATGCTAGGGCACAGGATGCCTTCCTTGTCATGGAGAGAAAGGGAGGGAACATAGAGAGCAGGAATGGGGGAGAGAGATTAAGTCACTGTCGGAGGAAAGCCAGCTTCGGAGGAAAAAGGTCAAATGTTCCTGTTCCCCAGGGAAGGAACAAGCAAAATGCTAGCAGACCCTCGCTCTGCACGTGGGATCTGAAGGGTGGTGTTAATCATAAACTTCTGCTTGTCTAGAATGGAAAAGGTACAAAAGCCCCTTAAATTTTAGAAAGTGTTGTATCTGTTGGATAGATTCATTTTTGCCTATTAAGGTCAACATTTCAAATGTGGGCTTCTCTTTTTTTCTTTTCCTTTCATTTCGTCTTTTTTTTTTTTTTTTTTGGTTTTTCAAGACAGGGTTTCTCTGCGTAGTTTTGTGCCTTTTCTGGAGCTCACTTGGTAGCCCAGGCTGGCCTCGAACTCACAGCGATCCGCCTGGCTCTGCCTCCCGAGTGCTGGGATTAAAGGCGTGCGCCACCACTGCCCGGCTTCATTTCGTCTTTTTTAAATGTGCATTTTCAAATATGTTAGTTAATGGCACTTTGGAAATGAAAACAAAACAAAAATATTGTAGTTTCTCAGCTGTTTTGTTTTGTTTTCGGGAAGCCCTGGGCTACAGGACAATATATGACTCCTACAAGGAACATTGAGTGGAAGATCTAAGGATAATTAAGAAGAGAAAATCAACTATAAATACCTACCACTCCCAGTGATCCCTAAGCCAATTCACTATACTTTCTGTCCATTAAGAACCTTCGGAGTGGGAGATTTAGCTCAGTGGTAGAGTGCTTGCCTAGTGCAAGGCCCTGGGTTCAATCCTCAGCTCCAAAAAAAAAAGAACCTTCATGGTCCCTTTCTCCTCATGCTCCAACCCACAGTTTGGGGAGCAGGACCCTGCCATACCTTTTTTCTGCAGTTCAAAAGAGACTCAACTTCAAGGTGAGGTTGGAGTTTTCATTATTTCAGAGAACAAGACATTTACTTGGGAATGTGTTAGGTGGTTTAAAATGAATAAAGAGCCTTTTTCATTATATAACAATGGGTAATAATTCATGGGGTTTGCCCAAGTGCTCATACAAGAACAGGGAAGGAATAAACCTCCACTGAGCCATTTTAAAAGAGCAGTTGAATATCACAATAGCAATTACTTTACAGTATCATACCTCAAGTTATGACCACACTACATAACTCTCGGAGATCAGGCAATCTTCTTAGGAAAGACACTAACATAATCTGAGGCAGCCTTCCAAACCTTGGTGCATTGGACTCGACAGGTCTTCTCTGTGTGGGACTTTCGCTTCCTGTCCTGTTATTACAGGACATTCAATAGCACCCGTCACCTGCAACTCACCACACTGCTAC